AAGACATCGGTTTGCGTGTAAACGCCACCGCTGCGCATTTTTCTGTGGCGATAGTCAAACCTTGCTGGCGAAGGTATGTCGATGTCATTGTCGCCGCTTTCTGTATTCTTGCGCGCACTTGAGGTCGTGTCACGCCGGACGCCCAAATGCAGATATCGTCAGCGTAGAGAGATACATAAGCCGTCTGTGGCAGCATTTCAGTGAGCCCCACGAGAACCAGGTTGAAAAGTGTAGGACTCAGAACACCGCCTTGTGGCACCCCACGACTTGTGAAATACTTATTCGTAGACCCATCTTCAGTCAAAACGAACATAGATCTCTTTGTGAGGTAGCTTCTTACCCATCTAAAGACACGACCTCCAAGTTCAGCTGCTTCAAGAGCATTGAGAACAGCCTCGTGGGTCACGTTGTCATAGGCACCCTTCACGTCTAAGAACAGAGCTACCGTCAGCCGCTTCTGAGCTTTCTGATGCTGAACAGAGGTCACTAAGTCAATAACGCTATCAACTGAGGACTGACCTCGTCGAAAACCAGCCATAGCATCAGGATAGATGTTATAATGTTCCAGGTACCATTCCATGCGTGTAAGCAGCATCCTCTCCATGACCTTGCCAACGCAGATTGCTAGTGCTATAGGCCGGTATGATGCCAAATCGAATGGAGACTTTCCGGGCTTCAGCAAAGCCACCAGGCGACTACACTTCCACTCATCAGGCACCATTCCATCATGCCAAGACTTATTGAAAATGTCCAGGAGACAGCGCTGTGCCTTCGGGCCTAGGTGACGTAGGGCAGTATAGGTCACTCCATCCGGACCTGGGGACGATGAGCGTCTGCATGTGTTCAATGCCGCATGAAGTTCTTCCATGGTGAACGCAACCTCCATTTGCTGATCTCGTGCGACTGGAAAATCCTGTGGCATTAGATCGATCGGTATAGAGATGTCGCCGGCGATCTTTGCACAAAATTCCCCAGAAACATCAAGCTGTGAGCGACGTTGATGTAGCGCCAGAGCGGCGAAGGGGTGACGCTGTTGCGGATGCGAGTGAAAACCTCGAAGAGTCCTCCATACGGGAGACAAGGGCTTTCGAGGGTCTAGCGAGTCACAAAAATTCTTCCACCGTTGTTCATGAAGTTTGTGCATTCGACGCTGGATTTTTTCTGAATGCGTCTGGATTCTCTGAGGTCAGAGATAGATTTCGTGCGTCTGTATCGTCTTTCGGCACGTCGGCGGACCGCTCGAAGTTGTTCCAACTCTTGGTCGAGTGCCGTGCGTCTCGATTCTTTCGAACGTATCTTCGTGGAAGTCTCCATTGCACAACTAATCACTTCTTCAATGGATTCCGGTGGTCCGTGCATGCACTTGCTCTCCACTGATATCTGAAACTCTTCCCAGTCAATAAGTCTTGAGTGTCCAGGGGAAGGAGAATCGTCCAAACCTCTGACTGTTACGTACGTGGGGATATGGTCGCTGCCACGTGTTTCAATATCTGTGAACCATTGGACTTTCGTGACAATGCTATGCGACACTAATGTCAAGTCCAGGCAACTGCTGTAAGTTACTCCTCGGAGATAAGTAGGGCTGCCGTCATTCAGCACCTGAAGCCCGTGCTCTGATGCGAGATCAACTAGGTCCGTGCCTTTTCGATTTGTCCTGATGCTTCCCACAATGGATGATGGGCGTTGAAGTCACCCATCAATATCCAAGGCGCTGGAGTCGTTGCAAATATACCATTCAAGATTTGTTGATCTAGTCGACCTGACGGCGCTATATATGCGCCTATCAGTGTAAACGACAACTTCTTCTTTTTAACATATAGACACACGTAGTGATTTCCATTGTGAGAATCTACTCTTTGGAGAACATAAGTGAGTTCTTTACGGATGTACACAGCAACTTGACTTCGCTCAATGCACGTTGAAGAAATGAACGATTCATAGCCCGACAGACGAGGTAGTTTTGAAAAATGCGGTTCACAAATGATGATGATGGGAAACTTATTTTCGAAAATGAATTGTCGGAACTCAGGCATTCTTGACTGTAGACCTCTTGCGTTCCACTGAATTATGGAAGCACGCTTGACTTTTTCTCGGAAAGGCTGATGCGGTCTATGGTGCACCATCTTGTTACTGAAGTCCGGCAAGAACTGGTTCTAGTGTGTCCAAGATTTGCAGCGCGCATTTAGCGGCAGGGATCTGTAGACTATCCAATAGAGTGCGAATAACACTCATGAACGACTTCAGTACAGAAAAGACTTGTACCTCTTGGGCGGACAGACTGCCTGCTGGGGGCATATTCGTTGATGACTATCGATATTGCGGTTCCGTAGACACGTGTAACCGCGGTAAAGTGGGCCAGTCAGAGCCGGATGTTCTCTGTAGCGCCACAGTGTCTTCCGGTACCTCTGGACGTACCCCACCTTGTGGCGGGGGCGGTGGAGGTCTCTGTGGTCGTGGCGGCGGTGGTGGTGGCGGTGGCGGCGTTAGTGAAGGCGCCTTCGGCACAGGACTGCTTTTTCTTTTCTTCGAGCACCGCCGTCGACGGGAACGCCGTCGTTGAACAACCGTTACCGCTTCCTTTCGTGAGGATCCGTCTTTAACCATTTGTCTCAGAATGCTCCTCTCTTTCTTCAGTACTGGGCAGTCTTTGGACGAGGTCTCATGGTTGCCGTTGCAGTTGCTGCATTTTAGGAGAGTTGCTTGGCAAGCCTCTGCTTTGTGGGGTCCGGCACAACGTGGGCATGCTTGCTTGTTGTTGCACACAGCACTAACATGACCCCGTTTTAGACAGTTGTGGCACTGTAGTGGTCTTGGGATGTATGGTCGGACAACGTGACGAAAATGACCAACCTTTACATGTGCTGGGATGCAATCACCTTTGAAGGTCACCTTGATGCAACGGGATTTGCCAAGCCGGCATACTTGCAATATGTCCGTTGCCCCAGTAGCTGGCTTTATCAGAACAGGAAGGTCTGCGTTCGGTATGGAAACATCAACGTCATAAATGACGCCTGTCGTCGTGTCACTATCCTGCGGAATGTAAGTTCTGAGATAGATGCCTCCAAGCTCAGTGACAGTTCGCAGGGTATGTAGCGCAGCCGGGTGCTCAACGTCTATGGCCAGGATATTCTTCCGTGGGTTGAGTTTAATAAGCTTTATCTCATTAGGCACGATAGCTTCGAGACGCGCTGATATCACTTGCCTGTTCATGTTCTTCAGATTGATCGAAGAGTCGACAGGAACAAAAAGTATGGTATGGCGTTCAGAACTGCACGCCGCCTTCACGGTAGAGACGCTAGCTGGCGAAGACGCGCCGACCATTCTTCTTTTAGCTTTACGCTTTACTGCAGGGATGAAATCTTCGTCGCTGTCTTCACTACTCGCCGTGTACAGTTCAGTGCTGTCACTGGTGCTGTCGTCCTCCCGGCTGTTACGCTTCCTTGAGGTTGACGTCGAAGGGGACGCCAAGTCCGGATTGCGTACGGTGGGGCCTGGATCCATCGCTGCCCGCAGGAGAGAGATGATCCTCGGATAAAACGTAAATTCACACAAAAAACACCAAACGAAATAGGCAGCGTTCAGTAGAAATACACTTCGTCGAAAATTTTGTGTGAACCAAGGTCCTGCAATTTGAGAATGCAATAAATAAACTAACGAAATATCACTGTGATTCATCTCGTATTGTTAAATTTTAAGTGGAACATTTAGGCACACGCTCATTTCTTACCACACGGAGTGATACGGAGTGTTACACAAATTTTGTGCTTACCAGAATTGAAGACTATGTCCCAGTTTTTTCAAGAAGCTGGCTATGTTGCAGAGCTCAAAAATCTACGAAGAGAAAGCCTCGAGTCATAAGTTGTCCCATTTCATCCCTAAGGGCGTCGCATGCAACTCAGCCTGTCTACATCAAGACAACCAACAATGGCAACTCTTATAGAACTAGGCATTTAAAAATATTCCAGAAAACAGAATATCTCGATACTGTGACATGAAGCTCTTTTAGGAAGTGTATTCTGCTTCATTCAATGACCCTCTCTAATCCGCGTGCTTTGTCTCTTAGAATTCGTAATTTCAGAAATTAAGCAGCTTAGAAGAGTGGACATTTTGCGCACATTCTACAAGCCCTTCTATGCTGGGCAATGTCTCGATAACGGTCCTCCTTAGTGGCACTGGTGTCCTCAATTGTTCTAAGCAAACGTAACCAAATAACCAAACAATCCGACATGGTGGCGACCAGCCAACGATGCACGCGACTGTGATGTAATTGAACGGGGTGGGGGAATCACGTTGCTCCTCCACCACGTTGCGTGCATCGCTACCAGTGGGCTTTTCTCCGTGATGCAGTTACTCACGCCACCGACACCATCAGGGCTTGCGTTATATTATATCCTCGTTTTGTATAGCCCAACGCGGCGTGCGCCTTGTAAGTGGGTAAGCGTAATACATTGCACTACGAAGAAACAAGACAAAATTGACAAACGACTAGGGGCTCGAGAGAAGTTATGTGGGCTCCTAAAGTTTAGAAAGCAAAAGTGACCACTCCAGTGGCGATTCGTAACGCGGCGAAGTGCATCTGTAGCTTCCCCGATACTCTACAATGCATGCCGGTTCTTTTGTTTTTTATTTACCGCCGGCCACTGCACTGCGTTCTCCTTTCCTCATTGCAGCGTCCAGTGTTTTAGATGAAGATAAGGGTAAAGAGGGTGCGTCTCTGGGCACATTTCACTGCTCCGGTCAGCGAGAAGGCGCAGGTGGCATGACTGAGAAAGCGTACTCGCAGGAGATGGTCGCCGAGTTGTTAGCTTCGTTGCTGCTCTTACTCTCCATCCCGGAAGGAGAGGTGTACCACCGGAAGCTACGCGGTTCCTCTGAGCTCGAACGAAACGACGTATTGGCGCCCCCCTGGCCTCAGCTGTGACGTAAGAAGAAAGAAGCCACGTGTATATCTCTCGTCTGGAGTATAAAAACGCCGGGCAGGCACGGAGCAGATACCAACGCCTTCCTAGGCCTTTCCTGCCCTTGTGTTCGAGTGAGACCGACATTACACAGCCATGAACGGCCTGGTAAGCGACCATCAGATGTGAGATTAGTGGCGCAAATGGTGGTTTGTTATAGTGCTGAGTTCGGAGCACCTCACTTCGTTGAATTGATTTACTAGGATGTGCACAGTAGATACCTACATAACTTCTCGTAGACCTTACGAAGTATTCGGCATATGAATGCGTACTCAGGATATGCACTTGTTGGCCAGAAGGTGACGATAAATGGGCGAGAGAAATCAGACTTTCTTGAAGATCATACGAATATGGTATGGCCGTTTTCCCTCGAAACTGCTGGATGCTGATGTCAGTCTTCATATTATACACAAAATCGCAATATTGAGTGGCATCGTTGTCGTGCTTATTGAGTTCTGCATGAGGTGGTGTTACCGATTGTCTTACCGGTGTTTCGTAGGAAACTTGGTAGTGTAGCTGTTGCCTACTAGCAAAGAGATGCGTTCATTGAGTTTGTACCACCTCTGCACCTATCCTCTGGCAAGAGTGGAAAGCCATTCAAGGAAAATTATCGCCAGTCGCTCCCTGCTTTGCAACACGGGAGAACAATCGTTGTAAACTGTGACACATAGGATGGCTGTAAGTGACACGAGTCCCGGTTGTGCCGCCCTAGCAGTCGGTGTTTCTACGAAGAGTCGAAGGCAACTTTTCCCTCTTTGATTTGAAGAACCAGGCTACGAACTATGTTGTGTGCTATCCTCAATAAACCCAGCAACAAGTATAATCTCTCTGCCAACATTGAAAAAAAGGTTGGATATCGGTAAACCCAAATCGTTTTAATGATACTCATTTTAAACAACACCGTGCAAGGAATGGCTATTCCATGCACGGCGACCCAAATCACTAAGCAGTTCATTACATTAAATCCGCACTTCTATGATTATCCGTTCAGCACGATGTAATTGAGCCCACTCCGGTTGATCGGTGCTTAGGGTGTTTTGCTGCAGACCTAAACATCATGGGTTCGACACCAGCCGCGGCGGTTCCATTTTGATGGAGGCGACATTGTGGACTCTCGTGTACTGTTCAATGTCAGTGCAGATAAACGACCACCACATGGCGGAAATTTCTAAAGCCCTCCACTGTGGCATCTCTCACAACCATATCGTGGTTCGGACGCCAAACCGCAGGTTAATATTATTACGATTTAAATATTAAGACTCATCACACTAACCTAAATTGTCAAAACATTCAGGCTGCGAAAATGGCTGCTGTGAAACTATCTCTCCCTAATGAACACCCCTACGAAAGTGCCGGATTAGAACAGATATAGCCAAGCTACAGTCATCTGTAGTGGTATAAATAAGCAAACTTGGTACGTACCCGACGCATTATGGAACAAATGAGCGAAAACCACGGAATAGGGTACACAGCGCGTCAGCAATATCGAAAACGTAGTTCAGAAAGAGCGACTTACATTAGCGAGCACGCAATGTAATTTTCGTGCAGCCGACACAATTTTGTTTGTTATTACATCCACAGTTCTCACATTTCTTATCTTCTGTTAGAAAATCTGAAGACTTTTCAAGGTCGTTTTTTGAGAGCGAATTAGCGTGTCTGTTTCATGACTATCCAACTGCCTTCGTAGTCTGGAAGATTTCTTGATCGAGCAAAAACCCAAACGTCGCGGGACCAAATCTCTGTCTGCCACGGCGACCGCATTATGATGGAGCAGTAATGCTAGGGACCCATGTGCTTAGATATAGGTGCGCGTTAATTAAACTACCTCAGGCTGTCGAACTTCGGATCCTTTAGATACGGCTTTCGTAATCATCCTATCGTGGTTTTGGGACGTAAAACACCGAAATTTGTTTTTATTCCCGAACGCCACGCTGCAATCATCTTGACCGCATTCGATTGCAGGTGCACACCATCCTGTTCACCGCCCTTTTCGGCAGCGCGCTCAGTGGATTCCTCGGTGGAAGTGGCACTGGAGGTGGTGTCGGTGGAGGCTACGGTGGGGCGGGTCTTGGGGGCTACGGTGGTGGTAGTCTCGGAGGTTACGGTGGAGGGCTTGGTGCCGGTGGCCTCGGAGGAGGAGGAGGCCTTGGTGCCGGAGGTCTAGGAGGAGGCAGTGGCAACGTGGGTGTTGGGAGCAGCGTGGTCCTGCTGAACGGCGGCCGTGCGGGTGCAAGCAAATCGGTGGCAGGGCCTGCGTTCCTCGTTCGCACGGTGCACCACGTGTCTCAAGTGCATGGCGGTGGAGCCATTGTGGCGCACTCTGGTCTCGGTGGTGTCGATGGAGCCGGCATTGGTGGAGGCGCCAGCATCGGAGGTGCCGGACTGATTGATGGTGGAGCTGCTGGTCTCGGAGGAGGCTACGGAGGTGGCGGTTATGGAGCTGGAGGCCTCGGTGGAGGTTACGGAAGCGGAGGATACGGGGCTGCTGGTGCTGGAGCTGGTGGTGTCGTTGGCAAGCTACTGCTCGTCAAGCATCACAAGTGAAATCTGTCACCAGTGTTTTTAGCTTTTTAAACACAGTCAGGTAAGCATTCTCATTCTAAGTCAACCATAGGTGTAAGCACATGCAGGCAGTAGTGCAGTGCCCCCGCTACTATCTAGTTCTAACTGCGTTTGGGTCGTTAGGGTGCGAGTGGGTGTTGGGGAGAGAGGGCACTCTAATAAACTTTCACACTATTCGGTCCTTCACCTTTGATGCCTAATTGAAAACCATGCGCAGGCATATAAGGAGTACAGTATCGTTACTATAAGCAACATTTATGAATTCACACAGTTTACATGAGTGTGCCACACTTAAGGTCCAACCGAAAATAATAAGGGATTGCTCGCTTAGTGTCCCACGTTGGAATAAAACGCTATGTACTTAGGAAATAAATTTGATAATATATAAGTACTGAAGATCTTGAAGAGTAATTTAGTACGCTAAGGTTATGTGGCAGTTTTTTTCTTCTACTGTATGCGATATTCCCAGGGGTGAATTGCAGTTTTCTGCATGAACGTAGCAGTGCTCACTGCTTTTTACATACTGTCACGGTAATCATCGTGCCATTGATAAGCCAACCCACTTGCGAAATCAATATAATTGAAATAGTAAGCTTTTGCTTCATAGATGATTCCTCTACTTTACTTTTGTGACAACGTTGGGTTAATAACGCGAATTGTAGTAGTCGGAAGGGTGACTTCAATTCGCTTTATGGTGAGAGTGACCATAACCATTACTTTCCAGCTTTATCGTGAGAGTGACCCTATACATTACTTTCCAGGTGTAAGCGAAGGCACCTGAAGAATACAGCGTCCTACTCAACTCGAGAGCTTCCACTCCACCTGCTCTTTTACCTCAATCGACGAAGAGAAAGATTCTATGAATCGCTCCGCACACAGGTTGACAATGTACGCTGACCCGGAATTCGTTTCCCACCTAATAAAACTGTGATTTACTCAAACTACCACCTAACTGACTCTCACTCTGTGTCTGTTTATATTTTCATATCGTGTGCAATTTTGAACATCAGCCTATCAAATGCCAAACAACGACCGATGATCGTGCACCTTATCATGAGCAATGTCATCCATTAAAAGTAGGGAGGCAAGATATAGTAGCGAGAGAAAAGGGCACACATATTAGCCGTATATAGTTCTGGCTTAGGCATTAGACAGGGATGTTTGATATATTGTAAAACTGTGTAAAACGGAAGACAAAACTCATGACACACTGAAAAGAAAATGATTCGACATTTCATATTCACTGTCTTGGGTTTCACATCTGGTTTTATAATTCTCACTGCTTATACCTTGCTCAAATCGCACCAACTCCACATAACACACTTGAAGCATAGAGGTAGAAGGAAAAATAGAAGCATAATACAGTCTTTGTATGATTTGAAGATGAAAGCCTGTGGACCTGTTCGTATGTCATCAGGTTATAAAATCGGCCATCAGAATTTCTCCAAGAACATAAACCGCAGCGTTAACTTGATATTCTTAGCAAGCTGCAGGGTTCGTAGTAACCTTCAACAATTCAATAACCTTCCCGTAGTTCGTAAAATACAGTGTTCCTGAAACTCACTGCACCTCACGTTATATTAGATTGCTTACCGAATCAGGCCATTCACTTGTGAACATTGGACGATGTCAACTGATGATGCCACCTTGTAACAGGACGACTTTCCCGTGATGATATCACAATTTTTGGCAATAGGTGACTTCATGTCATCACTGTGACGTAATCGTGAGCTCGAAGAATGTCACGTGCATATTTTCAACACGACTGGCAACACTCGCGACTTTTCGCAGTCTCGCGGAGGGAAACGCCAGTATATAGACACTTACCCCGTATTCTAGAAGGCCCCTTCACTCAACGCTGCACCTTCACTTGAGAAAGCCGACGGGAGCGCCATCTCTAGGCAGGAAAAGTCACTGCATATCGGTGATAATTTGCTGCTATTCTTGAGTTGCGCAGCGTCATTTTCAGCCGAGCAGCGGTGCAGTGAGCAACTCTGTCAAGTGAAGGGTGAAAGTCGAGTCAAGGAGCGTTTGTGAATACGGGGGTTAAACCTTAAAAATAAGAGGAGGGCTCACATATGACGTAAAGCCCGGCGTACGCAAAGCATCAGCACTGCGTGATGCTCTCATCAATCTTTTCAGGAACTCTACAGTTCAGGAACATCTGCAGTTCGGGACCTTCGAGTGACTGTATGGCTCTCTGTGCGATATTGTGTTCGTTCCCCGAGCTTTGTGTCAGCCGCTCCACTAGTCACTCGTCGCAAAACCACTTGTTTTGGGTGCCATCTGTATTCTAATGTTTTATGACATGGACGCTTTCTTTCGTGCTTGCAGAGTCGAGTCTCGACTTTTAGAAACTATAATGTCGGAGTGCTCGCGCAGCCATTCAAACTTATTATCTGTCATGGAAGTGCCTTCTGAGCAGTGATCATTGGCTGCAATGTGTAGCGGATTGAATATAAAAGGGGCCAGAGTTCTCCACTGAGAAAGCAAGCACGAGTGTGCACGTCGTGTTCGAAAACGACTGTTCTATTACGGGGTTCTGGACAGGCCTATGCAGTCGATGGAAGCATCGGGCACTCAAGGACACACGTAAACGGCATCGGTGCACCCACTTGGGTTTCGATGCATTCTGTGCTAAGTAAGTACCATGCCATCCAGACGCAGAGTTTCCGGTCAAATATTCCTCCTCCACCAGCCCCTTTTTTCTTTAGAATATTTATCGCGAGGCAAACACTGCCATCTGAGTGGATGATAGTGGATTGCTGAAGGTACCTATTTCGAAAGCCTCCAGTAAAGTTTTGCGTTTCTACTTTATGGTTGCATAATATTTTGTTCTCAATGACCTACTTTGGTTATATAAGACAGATGACGCGACTTTAATGCCAACAAGTAAATAAAAGGTGCAAAAACTTTCGTAGCATTATAGCTGGCACTGCAGTGATGGCTATTCAATTTGATAATCATTACATAGGCACAGCTACGATGCACCCGTCACGTCGGGTTAATGTCTAGTGTGGTTAGGCGCCCTCCGCATACGTTGATTTATGTAGCAGTTTTCGGGGCTACTGATCTAATGACCACCAGCACTTCGTATCAGCTTACCCCGTCCGTTGTTGCTAATATGTATGTTGCCGTTGGCATCGTTGCGTAACTGTGAATAAAACCCTGGATAGATAAAACATATGTGGCTGTTTTACGTATGTCTAAATTTAAGTACAAGGTCCCGTTGTGTTTTGACTACATCGCAATGAGGCCACCACGGTGACGATTTTTTCTTGCAACATTCGGGTCAGCAGTCGCGCATTGTAACCATGAAAGATTCGTATAGCATTGTACAGGACAAAACGATCACAATTAACTTATACAGAAAGTGGTCTATTGAAAGAAGCTTACATTTAGGAGGAGGAAGAAAGTTTAAGCGGAAAGACAGGGAGGTTAGCCAGTTCTTAGACCGGCTGGCTACCCTGTGCTGGGGAAAGGGGTGAGGGGAATGATTGATGTTAAAAAGAAATGTTGCGAAGAGAGGGAGAAATTACAAAAAAGAAATTGCGACAGAGGAAAGGCAACATCAAAGAGTATAAGACACTAAAGTCTTTCTCTGAGGCCAGTTGTCCGCAAAAAGCGCAGCAAAGCTTTCAAAGCCTTCTGGGCTGAGGATAGGCTTGGCCAATGACCCAGAATCCTTTGTTCCGACAAAGGCCGATTGTCTAGTCTATCCAGAGTTGCAGTGAGTTCTTGTCTTTGCACGTTGAAATAGGTGCACTCACACAGAAGGGACGCACAATCGGCAATACTGGTGGAAGCAATGTTTCATGAACCTGACTCGTTTTCATCGGCCGAACTCAACCCAAAAACCTCAAGCCGATCTCATGAAGAACACGAGTGTTCTTTTGGAAAAAATTCCTTCTGAAACATTCCGCATTGAAAGGTTTCCCACCATTTCAAACCTTCGGCGTCCTCGCTATGCCTCATGTTTGTAACTGTGCAACGGTGTTCTTCTATGCCATTATGTCGGTGCTTGGCTTCGGGAGTGTCCTATGGAGACGACGAAGCAACAGTGGCTAAAAAGATCAACTTCATCAACAAAATGGTTATAAACGTCGTGGAACCGGTAAATAAAGGTTACTTTTTGTCCAGCAGACCATTATTTCATTGCGATTTTCAGGCCACTCATGTGATGCCAACGCTACCACAGCATGAGAGAAGTGGCCAGCACATTTTAGGCTTCCAAAGACCCTTATGGCCATGTAGGCCATACATATACTCAATGATACTTCGCTTGAATAATGCCGTAACTTCACACCTCAAAACGATAGACATAGATATAATTACCATTCGTTCAGCTCCAGGTAAACATTTGCTTCAGTTGTGAAATCAGCGCGATGATGCTGAAGTGAAGCTACGATGACAAAACACAACTGTATGATTATACATCTCGTCAATAAATAATTACTCGATTTGATATTTTTTTCTTTGATTTATCACAACACACATGATAGGAGGCAAAGGATCAAGAATTCAAGAATGGCGTGAGGCTGTCATTCGGCCTTCAAAGACAAAGACAACAGCTATGGTACAAGCACTTCGATAACACTGTTGTAGATTCACTTATAATAAAACGTTTTAAATACAACAATAAGTATAAATAAAACACTAAAACGCTCGTCTTTTCTTGTTCTCCTACACTAAACTGCATGCATTTCCGTACACTAAATTCACATCAGCGTCATGCACCATCACATTAGATCACGGCTTTAACTTTGCAATAGCGTTGTATTAAATATAAAAATATAAGTAAGCAGCCAGTTTTACACGAAAGTTTTAAGTCAGTAAGATACCACACATGTAACATAAGTTTATAACTGGAATGTAAATTTGCTCATTCATGTTTTTTATGTGTCCGACACGTAATTTTTTTTAACTAAAATTGTATGTCATTAGAAAAACCTTAGTCTAGTAGAAGACATCAAACAGCTCAAAGCCTTAACTATGATAAGTACTTGACTACGGTAAT